ACATCCTGTTGTCTGCAAATATTTCCTGCTCTAAACTAGAGTAAAGATTTCACATCCCTGCCAGGTCAAGTTGTGAGGCGCCCAAGGAATGGAGAGAACAATGGACTTGCGAAAGCCAGGGGAATTTTAGGGTATGTGTCCTGTTAAGCTGTTCCTCCAGACATAGCCTTCCAAGACTCTGTAGATCCATATGCTGAACACATAGCCAATATTAATGCAAAAGCACTGAGCCTTAGTTGAAATTGTACAATCTCCTACATCTGCCCTATGTAAAGCAGATGGTAGGTAATTTGGGAAGCGGGGCACTCTCCTTAAAACTTTTTTTGCACCACCTCTAACACATTAAGCGTTTTCCAGCTCCAAATGTCCACACCATATAATATTTGGACATGGACTTTATCCCTGAAAACTCTAAAAGCCAGAATGATTAAATTACCCCCGTGCACCCATGTAAAATAAAGCACCAGTGGCATAGAACTTAAGGCTTTCTTCTTTACCTCTTCTGTAGATTTATCCCATTAGCCATTATAGGTCAAACAAATACCCAAAAGGGTTTCAATGTTCCTGTTCAATATAATAGCCCTCAATCATCCATTTAAGAAGCTTTGGTCTGTGGCCAAAGGAAATTACTTTAATTTTCTGGTAGTTTATGGTCAGGTACTCCTGCTGGCAAAAAGAGCTAAAATCCTTTAACATAAACATTAAGCCCAGAAGTATTTGAGGCAGCAAAACCATGGCATCTGCATAAAGAAAGGCCAATGTAAATTGGTGAAAACTTCAGGAAGGGAAACACTACACCCCTTCTAAAGTCACCAGAACTTCATTAGTGTAAATAGGAAAGGGGCCAATAAACAACGTGAAATAGGAAAGGGGCCAATAAACAACGTGAAATAGGAAAGGGGCCAATAAACAACATGAAATAGGAAAGGAGCCAATAAACAACTCTGATGGACTCCCTTTATGAGGGAGATAGGGTCAGTTAACTAACCTCATTGCCCTATCCTACCTTTGGCCACCATTTGGCTAGTAAGGGCTCTCAGAAGAGAGACGAGCCTAAGAGCTATGACAGCCCTCACAAGTTTCTCCCAGAGATGACTTCTATCAGTGGAATCAAAAGCCAATTTCAGGTCAATAAGGACCACAAAAAATTCCCCCCTTCGGGGGGAGCAATATTTATGAATTAAATGAATAGGGGTACATGATGGGGTGTTCACCCCAGACCAGGCCTGAAGGGATTAAGATGGATAAATTGTCCTATTAACTGCCCAGGCTTCACCTGGAAGAGGAAACAGGGAACAGAGATTTAATTAGAAGAGGCTAAACTGGGCAGAAAGAGCCAGGAACTATATAAGCCAGGAAGATAGCAACAGAAGGGGCTGGAAGGAAGGAGTCTCCAGTCACTCCCTGGGAGAAGGGAAGTGTGTCTGAGGCTGGAGGCAAGAAGCCTACAGTTACTCCTCAGGAGGAGAGAGTGGAGCTTGGTAAACCCAAAAAAGGGGGAGAGCCAAAAGAGGTAAGCAAAGTTCAGGGGAAAAGCAGCAAGGTATGGGGTAGTGAGAGTGAGAGGGCCCCTGAGCAGGGACTTGGAATAGAGGGAAGGTCCAGGTCCCCCTACCAGCTGCTGATGAAGTGGCACCAGTGGGGCACTGCCTGAGTCTGTTTGTGAAGAGAGACTTTCCAGCCCTGGAAGGGGGGAACACATATGGTGTCTTGGCTGGAGGGTTGAGTCATGAAAAGGAAACTGTGGTTCCTGGAATAAGAGGGGTCTACACACTGAGAAGACCATGGGAGAGACACTGCCGGGGAGGGCACAATGTCTGGTCAAAGCTAATCCCCAGGATGGCCATCAGGAGACGCCACTAGCAGTGGCAGGGTAAATTAGTTTTCAATGATAGAGCAGCCATTCCTGAAACCAGCTTGTTTCTCAGCAAATAAATTACAACTTTCTACCTAAACCTTTAATATCCACAGGAGAGCTCTAGTGTAGTTTAAAAATAACATATAAAAGGCAAGTTGGTTGGTAATTCACAGACTCATTGATGTCACCTTTTTTGTAAAGAAGAACAATATAACTGGTGGACCAACATGGAGGGGAGAAATTCCTGTATTATTTATATTAGTAAATAATTTACGAACACCGGGGTCAAGGGCCCACAAATTTATACTGTCCTTATAAAATTCTGTTGCAATAACATCCTCTCTAGGAGCTTTGTTAGGACATTGTTGGTTTATCAAAATTGTAACTTATCTGGAGACTGGAAGCCATTCTGGAAAGGAACAAAGGTTTGGGGATAAAGGCTTCAATATTAACTTTAATCTTGTCATAGCCCATTGCGACCAGCTTCCAAAATAAAGATGATTTTTTTTCTCTGTGGCATCAAGTTCAAATTGCTTCCAAAGGGCCTTTTGATGCTCCAACTTTTATTCAGCTATTTGCTATATTTCCTTCTGAGGATAACTAATTTCTCAATAGAATCAGGAGAACCATGATTTCTGACACACATTATCTGAAGCTGTTTCTTATGACCAAAGTAAGCTGACTCATACTAGATTCTTATATGAAAATAATCTTTTTAGGAGTCAGGTAACCTGTATTTTTTAACAATAAATATTATATGTATTTCTCAATAAGTACTATGATCCTGTGCTGGATCATTAATATTCAAAAGGTGTTTTTTCAAAACTAACAACTCACTGCATTCAAGTTTCTCTCCGATTTTATTCTTAACTATGGATGCAACTTAATTCACAACAAATTTACAGCTTCAGAATCAGAAGTGAGACACAATCTGTCTAAATCCATCTGGGGGAAAGTGGTCAGAGAGCAGAAATTCATCTACAAGGGTTGATGATTGCTGTCACTAAAAGATCTGAGAAACAAAACCTACTTCTAATTGGAACTGTGATATAATCAATCACACTTCCCCTTTTAGCAAATATGAATGTAAAATGACCCTCAAATCATTGTCCCATCTGTCATTCAGAACCTCCAGTCAAAATCTATTTTAAGCCTACTTCTCCCAAGATTTTGATCTTCAACCTTCTGAATGGTTTGTAGGTCTTAAGCAATAGGGTTTAAGGCCTGGCTGTTTGGTTTCACCTAAATAACAGAATATAGTCCAACAGGTTTTTCTTCTATGACCTGGTCACTTATTTTGTTAAAAGGAACAGAAATTCTTTCTGGTTGTACATTCATAGACTGTTTCCCTTTGACTTTTTCTATTGAATGGTGTCTGTCTAGGAAGAGCTCTCATACTCCAGACTTTCTTAGCCATGCACTAGTCTTTAAACTCCACCTTCACTCTCTCTTGCGAACCCCAGTTGGAGAGCCTTTTTACCTTTTAAAATATGTCTTCTGGGTATAAAATAAAACACTGATCGTTTCAGTAATACGCATATATGGTACTGCAAATTGGCTTGTGACTATCTTTTCCCAATTTTTTTTATAAACAGGACCACTGACCAATAATACTTAGAATTTCTACCCCCTTAAATCAGGGGTACTTTCATTTACAGTGGGTTGAAAAGATGAAGCAACTCAAAAGACTGCTTTCTAACCTAAGAGGTACAGGAGGGATAGCAGGAATAATTTGGAAGTTGTCACCTCCAGCCTTGTTGTGATGGTCACAGGTCTCACACCAGGGTCATCAAGCTGGTCTAGAACAGAGTTGCTGCTAAACACTCTACTCCAGTGGTTCCCAAACTTGTTCTGCCGCTTGTGCAGGGAAAGCCCCTGGCGGGCCGGGCCAGTTTATTTACCTGCCGCGTGCTCGGGTTCGGCCGATCGCGGCTCCCAGTGGCCACGGTTCGCTGCTCCAGGCCAATGGGAGCTGCTGAAAGTGGCGGCCAATACGTCCCTTGGCCCGTGCCGCTTCCAGCAGCTCCCATTGGCCTGGAGCAGCAAACCGTGGCCACTGGGAGCCGCGATCGGCCGAACCTGAGGACGCAGCAGGTAAACAAACCGGCCCGGCCCGCCCGGGGCTTTACCTGCACAAGCGGCAGAACAAGTTTGGGAACCACTGCTCTACTCAAATTGACGGCTAATAATGAGGGACCCTCAGGGAAAATGCTTCCTTTAGAATTTCTGGACTTATGCCAAACCTGCCATAAATCCCCTGCATAACCTTGAGATCCAAGAAAGATTCTTTGATTTCTGAAATATCTTTAAATATTAAAAGGGGAACAAAGAGAGCCCAGGGAATTATAGACCGGTCAGCGTAACTCAATAGCTGGAAAGATACTGGAACAAATTATTAAACAGTCAGTTTGTAAGCACCCACAGGATAAGAGGGTGCTTACAAAGAACAAATCATGGCAAACCAAACAAATTTCTTCTTTGACAGGGTTATGGCTTAGTGGATAGGGGAAAGCTATAGATATATGTCTTGATTTTAATAAGGCTTTTGATAGTCCCACATGACATTTTCATAAGCAAATTAGGGAAATGTGGTCTAAATTGAATTACTACAAGGTGCGTGCAAAACTGGTTGAAAGACGATACTCAAAGAGTAGTTATCAATGGTTCACTATCAAACAGGGGGGATGTATCTAGTGGGGTCCCGCAAGGGTCTGTCCTGGGTCCAGTACTAGTCAGTATTTTCATTAGTGATTTGGATAATGAAGTGGAGAGTATGCTTATAAAATCTGGGGATGACACCTGTCTGGGAGGGGTCACAAGCACTTTGGAGGAAAGGATTAGAATTCAAAACAACCTTGACAAATTGGAGAACTGGTCTGAAATCAACAAGATGAAAATCAGTAAAGACAAATACAAAGTACGTCACTTAATAAGGAAAAATCACATGTACAACTACAAAATGGGGGATAACTGGCTAGTTGTTAGTACTGCTGAAGAGGATCGGGGGATTATAGTGGATCACCAATTGAATGTCAGTCAACACTGTGATGTAGTTCAGAAAAGACTAAAATTGTTCTACTCATTAACAAAAGTATCACATGGATAAGTAAGACACAGGAATTAATTGTCCCACTACTCAAACCTTGTGAGGCCGCAGCTGGAGTACTGTTTCCAATTCTGGGGCCACAGGAAAGATGTAGACAAACTGGAGAGAGTCTAGAGGAGAGAAACAAAAACAATAGGCTGGGTTTTCTAAACTTTTTATCAGGAAAGGTTAAAAAACCTGGGCATGGTTAGTCCTCGGAAAAGAAGACTGAGGTGGGGATCTGATAACCGTGTTAAAATACGTTAAGGGCTATTACAGAGAGCACAGTGATCGATTGTTCTCCATGCCCACTAAAGGTGGGACAAGAAGTATGGGCAGAATCTGCAGCATGAGCGATTGAGGTTAGATATTAGGAAAAATGTTCTAACTATAAGGGTAGGGAAGCTCTGAAATAGGCTTCCAAGGGAAGTTGTGGAATTCCCACTGGGGGTTTTTAAGAACAGGCTGGATAAACACCTGCCAGGCATGGTCTAGGTATACTTCTTCAGCACAGGGAGATGGAATAGATGATCTCTCGAGGTCTCATCCAGCCCTATACTTCTATGATTCTATTATGGTATCTACTAACTTCCCAATGAACAGACAACTCTCACAGCAGAAAGCAGGCTTTGCTAATCATCCAGGAGAAGAATCAGGATTGTCTCCCAGCATAGGATCAGAGAGAGCAAGTGTTCTTGTAGATATAAAAAGGAAATCTATGTGTCTATGAGACACATTATCATGGGGAGACTGTCTAATCATTGACTGGGGACATTACCTAGTCCTTGATTAAAGTTAGGAAATTAGATTCAACCCTCAGGATGAGTACCTGATGATAAAACTAGTGAGTCAAAGGGTCTATCAGGTAAAGTGACCTCTATCTTCCCTAATCCCCTCTCCAAAAAATAGAAGGGTGGGAGCTGGCATACAAGGTTCTGTGGAGATTTCAAGGTTCTGTGGCAATATCTGGGCCTCTGCAGGCTTTCCCTTGCCATGGGTATGAGGGTTATAAAATCTGTAAAATTGCTTCCCATATGACTCCTCCTTCTGGGACTGTGTGGCTCTTTCCATGCTCCCTATGTTAAGCTGGCAGCTCCCTCCCTGGGAAGGACAGCAGAGCTCCCCTCACCAGAATCCCAGAAACCAAAAGGGATGGATGGGGAAGAGATCACCCAAACCTTCACAATAGGTTATCAATAGCAGTAGGGAATCTCTCCAGTACCTGGAAGCAGTGGTGGGCTGGAGCCGGTTGTTAAATTTAGAAGCCCTTTTAGAACCGGTTTAGAGTCCTGGCTTCTAAATTTAACAACTGGCCAAAAGTGGCGCCTTAGGTACCGACTCTCTGGGTGCTTCGGGGCTGGAGCACCCACAGGGAAAATTTGGTGGGTGCAGAGCACCCACTGGCAGCTCCCCACCCGGCCCCAGCTCACCTCACCTCTGCTCCACACCGCTCTGCTTCTCCACTCCTCCCACCCCCCCTTTCCCACGAATCAGCTGTTCACGCAGGAAGCCTGGGAGGGCTGAGAAGCAGGTGGCGGCTTCGCGCTCAGGCCCAGGGAGGCAGAGCGGAGGCGAACTAGGGCAGGGGGGGCGTGAGGAGGGCCAGCCGCGCCGCAGCAGGTAGCCCGGGGGGCACGCAGGGGAATCGCTCCCCGCCCCAGTTCGCCTCCGCTCCTCCTCCCTGGGTCTGAGCACGAAGTCGCTGCTTGCTTCTCAGCCCTCCCAGGCTTCCCGTGCGAACAGCTGATTCGCAGGAAACTGGGGGCGTGGAGAAGCAGAGCAGGGCGGCGGGTTCAGGGGAGGAGGTGGAGCAGGGCGGAGCTGGGGACGGGTGCAGGGCGGGGAGCTGCTGGTGGGGGCTCTGCCCCACCAAATTTTCCCCGTGGGTGCTCCAGCCCCAGAGCACCCATGGAGTCGGTGCCTAAGGCGCCATTTTTGATGTGATAAGTGGGGGGAGTGGCCGCTCCTCCTACTCCCCCCCTAGCTACGCTCTCCCACCCCTAGGAGCCAGAGGGACCTGCCGGATGCTTCCTGGGAGCCGCCCCAGGTAAGCACCGCCGGGACTCCCCACCTCGCCCCCCGGCAGGTCTCTCTGGCTCTTAGGGGTGGGGTGGGCATCCACTACGGTGGCCCACAAGATCCTCCTGCCCAGTTCTGGGGGCAGTGAGGGGACAGGGGAGGGGGGTGGATGGGGCAGGGGTCTGGGAGGGGTGGGGCAGGCCACAACCCCCTCGTGGGGTGAGGAGGGAACCGGTTGTTAAGATTTTGGCAGCTCACCACTGCCTGGAGGCAGGGGCCTCCCACATACAAAGGTCAGTTGCAGCTGATGTTTGGACCACCTCTGCCTTCGGGACCACAGCAATGGAGTTCCAAGCCCCTGCATGTCCTCTTACTGGCTTCACTTTGTTGGCTCTTGAGGGGGCCTATGTGCACTGACCGACTAGTCAGTTCTCCGTTAACAGCTTATTCAGTTGGTTCTTCACCTTTAGTTATTGACCAAAAGGTGTATCTGACTTTCCTGTCTAAAGACAAAGCAGTACAATCCCAAACAAAGACATATATACCATCCATCCAGGAAGCAATTCTTACCTCACTGTATGTTCACCTGACACAGAAGGGGTGCTTCAAGGTACGCATTTCGGCTAGTACTATTTATAGTATGACTTCACAAGTTGCAAAACTCTTCATACATCACTTAAAGTTTAAGTTTAACCCATCAGTTTGTGCCAGCTTTGTCTTTGGTACCTCCCTATACTTTCCCATATCTCATTTTAAATACTACATTCCAAGTGCTGGTGGGACTCTCTAACTGTACTTGGTAGAAAGTATTCATGCATCTTTGCTTTGGCAAGTTTCTATTTTCTAATGCCAAAGCTGACTTCAGGTTTGCAAAGTGCTGTGGGGTGTGTGGCGTGTGTGGACAGAATTGTGAGAAGAGCATAATACAGTCAGGAAACATAACTTTCAGGGCCGGTGCAACCACTAGGTGAACTAGGCGGTCGCCTAGGGCGCCAAGTGGTTGGGGGGGCGGTGGAGTGGAGGTGAGCTGGGGCAGGGGGGCGCGGGGAGGGTCACCTGCAGCAAGTAATGGGGGGAAGGGGGGCGCACAGGGGAACCGCCCTCCTCCCCAGCTCACCTCTGCTCCGCCTCTTCCCCTGAGCACCGCCCCGCTCTGCTTCTCTCCCTCCCAGGCTTGCGCACCAAACAGCTGATTGGCACCGCAAGCCTGGGAGGCAGGAGAAGCGGTGGCATGCTCGGGGAGGAGGCGGAGCAGAGGTGAGCTGGGGCGGGAAGCTGCCACAGGGGGGACTCCCCGGGCCGAGGGGGAGGAGGGAGGGGGCGGCAGAGAGCTGCCGCGGGGGGGGGCTGCCCGGGCCAAGGAGGAGGAGGGAGGAGGTGGCAGGGAGCTGCCGTGGGGGGGCTGCCCAGGCCGAGGGGAGGGAGGGAGGGGCGGCGGGGAGCTGCCGAGGGGGGGCTCCCCGGGTTGAGGGGGGAAGGAGAGGGCGGCGGGGAGCTGCCGCCAGGGGGGACACCTCAGGGTGGAGGGGGTGGCGGGGAGCTACCACAGGGCGGGGGGGTGGCACAAGGTGGACGTTTCGCCTAGGGCATCAAACCTCCTTGCACCGGCCCTGGCCCTGATAACTTCCCAACACCCCTGTGAGTTACATTAATACCATGCACATAATATCTATTAATGTGGTGTATACTATGCCTAGCATATATGTATTGGCTAACGCAGTTGAATCACCCAGCACAAAGGGAGGGGGGGACTTCTCCTCCAGCAGCACCTCTTAGGCTTCTCCACTCACTTTCTGCTGCTGGGTCCTCAGTTTCACTTGCTGCTGCTGGAACCGCGGCTCCCACCTCTCCACTGCCCTCTGCACCAGCCTGGTCTTGGTACCTCACTGGCTGATCACTCCACTGTTCAAGTGATTAATCGAAGCTAGACTGCTCAAAATGTAGGGGTGTAAGAGGATTTCAATATTTTGTGAAAGGAATTGATAAAGCTGCATCTATTTTCTTATGTTATTAAAATGTTAAAAAAAAAATTCCTGGAGATACACTCGTACATACGTAACTAGGTGACGGGATGGAACGCTTTAATTCAGAGGTCCTCAAACTGGTGCTCCATGGAGAACTGGCTGGTCACATGCTAAATTGCATTAAAAACCGCTAAGACACATTAAATACTCTTACAATATTAAACAGTTGCTATAGTTCTCACGGGATATTACATGATTGTGAATGGAAGGCAATCCATTGAATTGTGAATGGGGAGGGAGGCATCAATGTGACTATCTTCGTAGTAAAATGTGATCCATGCTATGGTCCAGTGTGGCAACAAAGGGGAATCAATAGATAGGTAAGCTACTGAGGGGGCAGCTGAAGAAAATCCATTTTAATGGATTGAAACAACTAAATTTGTTCCTGAGGAGAATGGGCTTATGTTAAAACTGAAAAAAGTTTGAGGGGCTTAATTAAGGACAAACCTGTAACGTTAGGCAGGTTAAGTAAGCAATACTTCATGTTTCTAAAATATCTTCTATTGCCTTGTTGTTTAACAATAGGTGGAAAAGGCATGGGAGGCTGGGAAGGAGGGATCCGTGTGCCAGGGATATTTAGATGGCCGGGAGTGTTACCTGCAGACACAGTTATCGATGAACCTACAAGTCTCATGGACATTTACCCTACGGTGATTTATCTGACAGGAGGGATAGTGCCCCAGGACAGGTACAGAAATTGTAAAACATATTCATTACTTTAAATTCCCAATATGGAATCTTATTTGAAAATGATCCTAACATTGGAGCTCAATATTGGATGTTTATCATGCCATTTTTAGCCTACTTTTTCAGATCCCTAAGCTCAGGGGTGAAAGTAAAATACAGCTCTTACCGGTACGGGTCCCACTCTCTCTCTCTCTCTCTCTCTCCCTCCCCCAACCCCCGGAAGGGGCGGGGCCTCAGGCAGAAGGGGCGGGGCCAGGGGTGGAAGTAAGTTACATTTCTTACCCTTACAGTCCAAACACAAGCAACCCACCTCTCCTACATACTTCATGGATCCCTCCCATTGCGTGACTTAGCTATAGAAAATAAAGCTACTATTACTACTACCAGTACTGTCTGGAATAAAACTTTACTATTGGAATAAGCCTGAAAACTCACTATCACATTTTTCTCCTTGTCCTCCCTCCTCCTCCTCCTCCAGCCAGGCTGCCCACGCGGCTTGGCTCTGCATTCCCCCGACCCCCGCCCTCAGCAGGGGCTGCAGCGGCTCCCCTCTAGCTGGGAGCAGGGGGACTGGCTGAGGGAGACGCCTCCCCAGGATGCCTGCTGCCTGCATAGAAACAGTTTAAACTTGCTGCTCCCTCCCTGGTTCAGACTGGGATTCTGGGCTCTTTCTGGCATCCTTGTTAATTTCATTCACAGTTGGGGCGGGGGGGGTGGAAGGTGAGACCAAGGCAGGGGCAGAATACAATAACCATTTGGCTGCACAGCTTAAATCCAGAGCTAATAAAAGCCAGTGGAAGGGGGAAACTCACTATCACATTGGTTTCTCTCCTGTCTCGTCCTCTGGCTAGGCTGCCCGTTCCGCTGTTCACTCCTGGTCTGAACTGCGGAATTAGGATTTGTGCTGGAAATGGCCCACCTTGATTATCATACACATTGTAAGGAGAGTGATCACTTTAGATAAGCTATTACCAGCAGGAGAGTGGGGTGGGGGGAGAGAAAACCTTTTGTAGTGGTAAACACCCATTTTTTCATGGTTTGTATGTATAAGAACATCTTCTGTATTTTCCACAGTATGCATCCAATGAAGTGAGCTGTAGCTCACGAAAGCTTATGCTCAAATAAACTGGTTAGTCTCTAAGGTGCCACAAGTACTCCTTTTCTTTTTGCGAATACAGACTAACACGGCTGTTACTCTGAAACCTGCGGAATTAGGGGCTATTTCTGGCTTCCTTGTTAATTTCACTCACGGTTCTTGAGGAAGAGGGATACCAAAGCCTGGGCAATTCTTTTCTGCCCCCTGGATGAGGCGATCTTCAATAATATAATACACAAAAAATACAATCAAAATCAGGAACCATTTCCAAGTTCAAATCTATCCCATTCCCTCCGCAGCAGAGGATCATGGTTGTGATGTCCAAACTGCTTGCAGATCCTCTTTGAAATGTTACTGTTTAAAAAAAAAACATGGAGAACATGGTGGGAAGATGTGTTCTGATGATCGGGGTTTATTTTAGGCCAAGCTATTTTGGTAAAACAACTAAAGATTCACAGGGAAAGCAAATAGCCCCATAGACAAAACCACAAAGGGTCTGGAGGGGAAAACTGGATATTCAGGGAAATTATTGCAATGATACTGTTATTAAGGTGCCTTATACCAGTATCGCTTATTCCCCTTCCCCTTCCTGTACAAAAATAACTATAACAGCAGAAGCACATTTAGATACTTAGAGAAAGTTTTGTCAATTTCAGCCTCCTCACTCTGCAGGACACCGACACCCACAAAACAAAAAGAGATCTGAGCCCCTACGTCCTAAGGACATTTCAGGTGTTTAATTCAATATATAAAGAGGGTGGAATGAAAACTACTGTTTCTTTCAAAGGAGGCACAATAATTTCCCTGAATATCCAGTTTTCAGACCGCGGAGTGAACAGCTAAATTTAAACTGTTCTTATGCAGACAGCAGGCATCCCGGGGAGGCTTCTCCCTCAGCCAGTCCCCCTGCTCCCTGCTACAAGCTAGAGGGGAGCCACTGCAGCCCCTGCTGAGGTGGGGGGGAGGTCGGGGCAACGGGGAGGCTAGCCACATCGGGCAGCCTGGCTGGAGGAGGAGAGAAACCAATGTGATAGTGAGTTTCCCCCTTCCACTGGCTTTTATTAGCTCTGGATTTAAGCTGTGCAGCCAAATGGCTATTGTATTCTGCCCCTGCCTTGGTCTCACCTTCCACCCTCCCCCCCCGCCACCCCCCCCCCCCAACAACTGTGAATGAAATTAAAAAGGATGCCAGAAAGAGCCCAGAATCCCAGTCTGAACCAGGGAGGGAGCAGCAAGTTTAAGCTGTTCCTATGCAGACAGCAGGCATCCTGGGGAGGCGTCTCCCTCAGCCAGTCTCCCTGCTCCAAGCTAGAGGGGAGCCCCTGCTGAGTGTGGGGTTCGGTGAAGCACTGAGCCTAGCCCTGTCAGCAGCCTGGCTGGAGGAGGAGGGAGGAGAGAAACGAATGTGACAGTGAGTTTTCCCCTTCCACTGGCTTTTATTAGCTCTGGATTTAAGCTGTGCGGCCAGATGGCTATTGTATTCTGCCCCTGCCTTGGTCTCACACAACCCCCCCTCCCCTGCTCCCAGCAACAACCCTTAGATTAACAAGAAAACCAGAAATAGCCCCGAATCCCGCGGTTCAGACCGCGGAGTGAACAGCTAAGTTTAAACTGTTCCTATGCAGACAGCAGGCATCCTGGGGAGGCTTCTCCCTCAGCCAGTCCCTCTGCTACCTGCTATTAGCTAGAGGGGAGCCCCTGCAGCCCCTGCTGAGTGGGAGGGTTGGGGGAATGGGGAGCCTAGCCGCGTATGCATCCTGGCTGGAGGAGGAGAGGGGGAGAAACAACAAACAAATGTGACAGAGACTTTTCCCTTTCCAAGCTTTTATTAGCTTTGAGTTTGAACTTTTTGCTCTGCAGACAAAAGAGGTGAAAGTAAGCCAGTACTGAATACTCCACTTATTTGCCAGTACACTACTGCATCTTTTTTTACCGGTACTCCGTACCAGACCGGACCAGCTTACTTTCACCTCTGCCTAAGCTGCATATAGTTCATATAAATCTTTTACATGTTTGAGATTCACCCCTTACTCATAAATGTTTCTTGTTCCAAATGTAAGTTTTCAATCGTGCTTTCAATTGCAAGTGTTTTCATATGCAATGACAGTTGAGTACAGAACTTGTTATCCTGCAACTCACTGCAGTTTGGTGACTACCATTCTCTCCATCAACATTAGGGTGATCGATGGCCAGAACCTGATGCCTTTACTGCAGGGGTCCATTCAGCACTCAGCGCACGAGTTCCTGTTTCACTACTGTGGCATGTATTTACATGCAGTACGGTGGCATCAAAAGGACAGTGAGTATAAAGGTTCTTCCAAAAACAATGATGGCTTCAATCTCTAGGAAAGCATATGTATTGTATAATTCAATTTTAATATAGGCTAGATCGTAGCTTTGCAACAAGCCTGGGATGGGAAACAGTGTGTAGCTGTGGCACCTAGGAACAATGCGGGTACCCACAGAGCAGCAATAATATGCTGTTGTCCTGCATGTATATTTTGATATACACACTACGGGCACAAGTATGCTGACCAGAATATTGGGTACAGAACTAAGGTTCTCCCTGCTCAGTTGCTCTGGGACGGGTAGTATTGACTTAATCCTGTTTGGATGGACCCAAAATCTGAATACCGCATTAAGCAGTATGAAGGCAAAGCTTGGCACTTTGTGTTACAAATTAAAAATTTTACTTGTTAAGTGATGAAAATATGTTCAGTGCTGAAAGACCTTTCACTCTTCTAATGCCATTTTATGTCTATATGCATCATCTTACATCTGGTTTCTCTCCTACCAGGTGGTGCACTGTGGAAGGCTCATTATGTGACTCCAATATTCCAGCCAGAGGGTGCTGGAGCGTGTTACAGAAGAGGAATTTGCCCATGTTTTGGGGAAGGTGTAACCCATCATGACCCTCCTTTACTCTTTGATCTCTCCAGAGACCCTTCCGAGGCCAAAACTCTGTCTCCTGCCACTGAGCCCCTGTTTGACACAATAATAAGCCGAATAGGAAGAGCTGTTCAGGAGCATCGCCAGACACTGACTCCAGTCCCACAACAGCTCTCTTTGTACAACATTATGTGGAAGCCCTGGCTGCAGCCGTGCTGTGGGACATTCCCGTTTTGCTGGTGTGATAAAGAAGGTGACAGTGCACACCCTGCTCTGTAAAGAAAATATATTGAAGGTTAACTGTATGAAAAGCTTTAAAATCAAGTGCTTTTTTTTGAGCAAATGGACTCTCTTTTTGTTGATTTAGGATTACACAGTTGGCTAGCTATATGAAATAGGGCTTAATGAAGGCCATTTTGTGAAACAAGATACCAGTCTAGATGGACAAAATTAATATGTTCCAGTATGGCAAGTCTTAGGAGTATCTATCCACTGCTGAAGATATAGCTCAGATACATTGCAGTGTGCCAAAATTAAAAATGCTGCAGTAACCATAACTTTGAATCTCTTGACATCTGTGGATATAGGTTCACTAGCTCAGCATCATTTTTATACTGAATTTCTATGCAAGGATGTACTACCAACATTCTAGCAAAGGGCTGCCTGCAATGTTTCAGCCCAGTTGGTCATATATAAGACACGTCCTGTGTAAAATACTTCCCCACCCCCAAAATAATTTCCCTTGATACCCCATGGAAGAAGAATCGCTTAGTCCACCACTAGATCCCCATAGAGGCTCCTCTAGGTGATCCTTCTATCTTGCAGCTAGCTCTTCTAGCAGCAGCGGTGGTGGCTGATATATCCTCTGGCTGTCCAGTAGCTGGTTGGTTGAGGGATTAGCTCTCCCATGGAGACCATTTGGGAAATGGTTCGCCTTTGGTTCTTAAAGAGGACAGGCCTCTCCTGGCTGATGGCAATCTCCCCTAACTGGTCTGGGGCTGTCAGTCCAGTCCCTAATGCATTCTTTAGAGCATGGTGGAGGACGCAAGAGGGAAGGAAGCTCGCTTTTCAGCAGCTGCCAGAGCAATGGGGTGGCATACCTGGCACTGCCAGAGTGAGGAACAGTCAGCACCAGACCCAACCCTAGTGGAGGCTGAAAATTGTAATATGCACAGCCAGTCTTAGTACTGTGGTAGAGGGCTGTGAAAGTTATTCTTGCTGCCACACCCCAGTGATAACCAATTTCTGCTGTCAAGTAACAATAAAAATAATGACTCAGCTCCTCCCCCCCACTTACTGAAAAGCCCATGGGAGGGCTCAGAGGGAGAGAATCCCTTTGAGGATCCCCTAATGTGAATCGCCCCACATCATTCAGACCAGCTCTGACCCCCATACCTTTCCCCACCCCCATCCCTGGCAGCACATCTCCATTGAAGCCATACTAACAAAGCTATCTCCTGGACATGACAGGGGCTGTGCAGAAAAAATAATATCTTAAGGCTGCATTATTTTGCTGATTAATTTATATGGGGCCAAAGGGAGTGACACTGTGGATCCTACACACTTCTCCTCATAGACCACCCAGACTCCTCTACCTTCCCTTGGATATGTTTGATTTGGCTATATTTAAAATATGTATATAAAATATTAACAACTCTAAGACTCCGCTAACCTATAAATTACTAGATGGAAACTTTCTCTTGCCTGCTTGGAACCTGTCTGAGCTGCTTTCTCAGCTTTTTCCTGGCTTCTTTTTTGATTGGCTTCTACTTATTAGGGCCAAGATTTTTGATAGTATTTAGCCATTGCTGCCTTCAGCATTGTAACATCTAACTGATTTAGGAGCCTAACTCTTATTTTTGAAAGGATTTAGGCACTTATGAGTCAATATTCCGTTCATGCCTAAATTCCTTTTAAAATTCTAAAACCTTAGCTCTTCATTTGACCCTTCCCGCATTGCCTGATTTCTGCACCTTGCTGAGATATCTTGTATTAATATCTACTTTGGCCCTCTAAACCTATTAGGGATTCCCAAAAATATATCTAAGCTGAGAATGTGTCCCCATACCCAAACTTTGAGTAGAAGCAGAGGTACAATCTCACCATTCCTGAATTCTGATCTTCACCCCACCTCATTATCAGTGGTCATGCCAAGTCTGACTCGTCACCTGGGCTGTGTCAGATCCTACTTTGCCCATATTTCCTTTAAACAGTTCTTATTTAGGGTGCATTGCAGTAATGTTCTGTGCAGCCATTCCTGGTGTCAGAGAGGATGAAACACTTTTGGCCAGATTTTCCAAAGGGCTTAGCACCCAACTGGTCTTTGAGAACAATGGGAGCTGTGCTTTTGAAAATCTGTCCCTTTTAAGAACAAACCACCCCAGGGTTGGAACTTGAGTGGCAGTTGTGGGAGAGAGCAGAGAAAGGATCTCTCTCACCATGGCTTGCAAAATGAAAAAGCTAAACAACCTCTGCTTTTAAAAACCTGCTCCATGCTTTTTCTCCAGAGAGGAATTTTCCCTCAATCCCTTAGAGAAGTTTACGCTTTTTAAGGAAGACTCTAATTTGCCTTTATTCCCTCTCTGGCCTTCCTAACATTAGCTTTGCCAGGGCGCTCTTTCTCAGAGTTCCTGCTTCCGGATTTGCAGTGCAGGAATCTGGCTTTCAGATGGGAGTCGGCCAGCAGTGTTCTGCCACTTGTACCAAGGGGTCGCACTCAAAGACCTTTCCTTTGTCCAGAAGGTGTGTAGGTCCGGATCCTCTGGAACATGGTCAGAGCTTTGTATTCTTTGTGCCCTCTGCACAGGCTCCCAGGTGTTTTTGAGCCATACTCTGTTTTGATGCAGAATTTTATTTACAGGATGTTTCAAAATAGTAAACCCTAGGCAGTAAAAGTCTGTTTTTCTTGACTTTTGTCTGGCTTTCAAGTCAAATTGCATCTCTTCTCTGCTAGCTCCTATCTGCCCTTGTCTCCAATTGTCTGCTTAATCAGAACTGCTGCCTTCAGACGGGGTGGCTCACTGTGTCATAAACAGTGGAAAACAACATGGGCAGTGTTAAGAAAGGAAAATAGCAATTCATCCCTATTTCCTCTCCTCTTTCCTTCTTTGATCCCTACAAACTCAGCTCTATCCAGTTTGGGATTTGCTGGATTGTGACAAGCACAGATACACTGGGGAAAAGTTTGCTTTCAATTTCACCATCAGTGGAGTTACTGTGCATTTATAAAAAGAAAAGGAGTACTTGTGGCACCTTAGAGACTAACAAATTTATTTGAGCATAAGCTTTCGGCTGTAGCTCACGAAAGCTTATGCTCAGATAAATTTGTTAGTCTCTAAGGTGCCACAAGTCCTCCTTTTCTTTTTGCGAATACAGACTAACATGGCTGCTACTCTGAAACCTGTGCATTTATACTGGAGTATCTGAGAGTTTTGCACTCTAGTTATATTTCATGTGACCTGTAGTAATTCTCTGGTTAATTTACTCTTACATGCCCTATTTTCCTCATACATCTCCTTTGTTACATTTGTTTCTATCACTGATTTTCTTCCCTTCTCTTTTCCTGCTGTCCCATCTGAAGGAAAATCTGCAGGTTTATAGATTGATACGGTTTAGGGCCAGCGGGCACTATTCACTCATGTAGTTGGACCTCCTGTGTATCACAGGCTGTTATATTTCACCCAGTTATCCCTGTATTGAGGCCAATTACTTGTGATTATGTAAAGTATAATTTATGTAAAGCCAAAGCATATCTGCCAGAAAGACATCATCATCATTTGATGACCTCTTCCCTTGGTAGGTTTCAGAGTAACAGCCGTGTTAGTCTGTATTCGCAAAAAGAAAAGGAGTACTTGTGGCACCTTAGAGACTAACCAATTTATTTAAGCATGATACTCCTTTTCTTCTTCCCTTGGTAGTTTGTTCCTATGATTAATCAGCCTCACTGTTAAAAATATGCTCCTTATTTCTTTGAATTTGTCAGGCTTCTGCATCCAGCCATTGGTTCTTGTTGTTCTGTTCTCTACTAGATTAAAGAGCCATGTAGTACCGAGTATTTTCTCCATGAAGGTACATGAAGGTACATATGCACTGTAATCAGATCACCTCTTGATCTTGTTTTTGATAAACTAGACAGATTGAGCTCTTTTTAAGGCTCTCACTGTGATATTTTCTCCAGCCCTTGAATCATTGTAACCTTTTCTGCACCCTCTCTGCTTTTTCAACATCCTTTTTACAATGTGGACACCAGAACTACGTGGAGTATTCTAGTATTGGTCTCACTAATGCTGTATGGAGAAGTAAAATCTCCTCTGTACTCCTACTAACTACTCCCCTTTTTGTATATCCAAGGGTAGCATTAGCCCTTTTTGCCACAGTATCGCACTAGAGCTCATGTTCGGTTGCTTGTCCACTATGATCCCTAAATCCTTTTCACAGTCACTGCCTTCCAAGACACAATCACCTGGCCGGCATTCCTTGTTCCCAAATAGATAACTTTGGTATGTATTTGGCTGTATTAAAATGCTTTTGCTTTAAAATGGGCCCAGCTCACCAAGCGATGCAGATCCAGATGAATCTTGCAGCAATGCGTGCCCTGAAATTCTGCATGTGTTGTAATTTTCCCTGTAAAATTCCATTACGTTAAAATATATATTTTTTTCTCTCCTGGTCTGTTCCTTTTGCTTGTGGAGCCTATTCCTTCAGCCTTTTGTACACATTCCTAGGTTGATCAGTTCCTCACTTGTGATTAGACAAGCAGTGCAGGATGCCAATTTCTCATGTTGGCTTCATTCCACTTAGAATTAACTTAGGGTGACCAGATAGCACGTGTGAAAAATCAGGCAGCCGTTGTGGGTAATAGGAGCCTATACAAGAAAAAGCCCCAAATATTGGGACTGTCCATGTAAAATCAGGACATCTGCTCACCCTAAATTAACTAGAAAGGACAGTTAGGGGGTCTTTTTAAAGGAGGATATGATAATGTTTTGACACCACATATGTTCTTTAAGAAACATGAGTGGTTATGCATGCTGTGGGTGAATGAACAATAAAAATATTGTTGCACATGGTACATTCCAATTCCACATTTCCTTTTTACCCTAGCCTACTCCAACAATACATAATTAGATCTCACAATGCCCTTGTTCCATACTTGGGGAAATACTACTGAAAGGCCATCATCTCTAGGTATGAGCACAGCAGCTTAGGGCATCCATTTGAAACTGTAGCTGGAATGTACATTAGGCAGCAAAATTCTATTACCCTGAGCAGGAATTTATTTTGGGTTGATAACTCCAGTGTCATCGACAAATATTTAGAGCCTCACGCTGTGCAAAAATTAAGGGCTAAGACATTTGTAGATACTAATAAAAGCAGCTTTCATAAAGTCAAACTGCCTTGATTTTAGTAGTAGGAGAGAAGAGAGAGTTATTCCTGTCAGTCCATTTCAGACAAAAAAATGCCTGCATGAATTAATCTGCCCTCCTAGGGGCTGTTGTTTTTCCTCCGGTGTAATGTATTACGCTCCAATATCTTGCATGGCTATTACTGTATCACCCTTTGTGCTCTTTGCGGGAATTCATAATACCAGTACAACATGGTGTAACTTTTAAGAGCTATCTTCAACTGCACTGTGATCAGCAGCCTCCCTTCCAGAGGACAAGTAGTATGAGTAAGTGGAATTCTCAAAGTTGCGTCCAGACCCAAGTTTCTCACATGACAATACATAGCCATGCCAAAAATTATTAATAGACGATTGCATAAGGACAAGAACTTTGCTCTTAAGCAATTCATTGGCTGCAGCTGCATATTCCTTATTTACAGTATGAAGCAGATTTATCTTTTATACCATTGAATTGTTTCTAAATATGCTTTTGTTTCCAGCTTGTTTGTGGGGTGACAGCTATTCTTTCCATACATCACATTTTTGGAGTAAACAACTTGACAGCAATTCTTTAAAAGCTAAAGGCTTAGGAGTGGATTGATATTGGGAGACTCTTTTCTCATGCAGTACTATAGAACTGCTACTGTTCTTACTCCAGCAAAATTACTGATTCCCTCACCAAGGACTTTGCAAGAGAGAGAAATGTGGAGTCAGGCTCAAGGAATGTAATCTTTAACTGACATTTGGAGCAGCTGAGAACTCTTCAAAAGCTGACCCTGTTCGAGACAGACATACTTAGTATATTAGAAAGTGTGAAAAAAATGGGATTTAGGAGCTTAAGTCAATTTTGAACATCAGAACAGCCATACAGGGTCAGACCAAAGGTCCGTCAAGCCCAGTATCCTGTCTTCTGACAGTGGCCAATGTCAGGTGCCCCAGAGGGAATGAACAGAACAGGTAATCATCAGGTGATCCATCCCCTGTCCCAGATTCTGGCAAACAAAGGCTAGGGACACCATCCCTGCCCATCCTGCCTAATAGCCATTGATGGAAACGTATCTAGTTCTTTTTAGAACCCTGTTATGGTATTGGCAACAACATCCTCTGTCAAGGCATTCCGCAGGTTGACTGTGCGTTGTGTGAAAAAATACTTTCTTTTGTTTGTTTTAACCCTGCTGCCTATTAATTTCATTTGGTGACCCCTAATTCTTGTGTTTTGAAATTTTTACCTTCAGACTATAATCCTGGGGCCAGCATGAAAGCCAGGTAAATGGGAAAAGGAATCCTCTCTCCCATGCAGGCCTGTAGTGGGAGACCTTTGCAGAGCTCCTCCACAGAGGCAGCCCAATGACTAGAGTAACCTACTTGGGAGCAGGGAGACCAGTACATGGAAGGAAGGAACAGATGGGAGGGTACACACAACAATGGAGCCTTTGCCCATCTGTCTCCTGTTCACAGCAGGCCCTGTGGAGTTTAGCTGTACACCAGAGGTGAAAGTAAGCCAGTATGGCCCGGTACAGCATACTGGTAAGAAAGTGCTGATCGTACCAGCAGGGCAGCTGATGGGGAGGGGGGCAAAAGAGGCAGCTGCCCTGGGGCCCAGCATTTTAAAGGGCCTGGGGCTCCAGCTGCCACTGCTGCCACTGCACCTGTGGCTGGAGCCCCAGCCCCTTTAAATCGGCACAGGCCAGGCAGCGCTGAAGGGCTGGCTGGGGGATTTTGCCAGAGGCCCCGCCCCTTCTGGGGGCCCAGAGTCGCCCCTTCCCCCCCCCACCTTGCCCTGGACCCCAGCTGCCCTGCATACTGGTAAGTCATTTAAGCTACTTTCACCCCTGCTCTACACCCACCCCTGTATCTAGTTCCCACTTCCTCATGCAGCAGACCCACTGCCAGCAGCGCTCTCCTCGGCCGTGGAGGCAGGGGCTACATTTTGTCCTAAGTTAATTCAAACCTTGGCTCATATTAGCATTTCCATTGTGAACAGTACAGTGGTTCATACGGGTAACGACTTAAGTTGTTTTACTATATTTCAGGAGCTACCTAACTGCTCTGCTGGCATTATGCATATTTCCAAAGACATGTGGAATGAGTGTGGCTGTGGATTCTAAACCCAATATTTTACTGATAATGGCAGATGATCTTGGCATTGGAGACATAGGTTGCTATGGTAACAATACCATAAGGTAAAGGCTCTCTCATTAATATATGTATGTGTTTAATTTTTTCAAGTAAGCTACATGTTTTACAGGCATAAAATAAGAGAAGCTCCAGCCCCAATGACTTTACAGTCCAAGGCCCAAGTCTTTCAAACACTCATGCATGCACTTAACTTGATGCATATAAGTAGTCTTCTTGTAGTCAATGGGGCCAGCTCACATACAGTTAAGTCCATGTGTATATACTTGTAGGATTAGGGCCTACATATACAATAAAAAAAGAAATGGGGGAAGGAAGCAACATTATTATTTCCACTCAATCTGAATTTCCTTTTATTTTCTGTCCATTAACCTCTGACTACATGTTGTATCATTATTATTTACCCTTTGTCTATCTCTACATATATCTTACACTTTACCCATTTCTACTTTTTTTATCTATAACCCTGGCTCTTTCTGTGCTATGCTTTTCCTCCAACCTTCATCCATTTTCTCACTCCTTTCTTCCGAGTACATGAGGCCTCTGCCCACTGGATCCTGTGGGCTGGCACTCACTAATTTACTCATGAGGGATGGCCCACAAGGCCTGTACTCTCCCAGTTAGCCTGGGTCTGTAGCAGGAGCAGAAGGGCTTGTTCCACCTGAAGAAGCTCCGCCTTTTTTATAGGCAATCCCAAAGAGGTGGTAGGGGGCCTCCTCCTGCCTCACATGGCGGTGCTGGGGTTCCAGAAAGGAGCACTGTAGACTTCCTGCCCCCATTGTCCAGATCTGGCATTCGTGGAGGTAGGAAGGTCTGTAAGGCCCGTTTCCCTCCTCCTACTGCTGCAGTCCTACCCCCTGGGAGAGTTAGAACCTTATAAAAATATCATTGTGTAACTATATTATTATTTGCTGCCATATATAATCTGTAGTGTCAACACTGAACAGTAACTGCTTGGCTCACAAAAGCTCCAGATACCTGATAGGAGGTTTTGGTTCAGTGAACTCCAAAATATAGGGTTATAAAAGTGACATACAGTAGAATCTTAAAGATACAAACACCAGAGTTATGGACTGACTGGTGAACCGGATACCGTGTGAAACCAGAAGAATCAGGCAGCAGCGGAGACAAAAGAAAAAGAAAGAAAGCAAATACTGTACTGTGCCTGTATTACATCTTAAAGGTAGGCACATCTGGGCTGCCTGTCCTCCCCTCACCCCACTCCCATCCGCGGGGCAGCCACTTACATCTAGGAGTGAAGACGCTGCGTCTGCCAGCCCAAGGCAGCTGGCAGAGCAGGAGCAGCACTGGGGTCTGCGTTGTTTTCACACCTTCCCCCGTCCCCCCGGCCAGGAGTTTGTGGGGGGGTGCTGTTTTCACACACCCCTCCCCAGGCCAGGATGGGGACGCTGTTTTCACACCCCTCCCCCGGATGGGAGGGGGACAAGCTGTTTTCATACCTCCCTCCTCTGGCCAGAAGGGGCAAGGTTGCAGTCCGATGCAGGGAAAGAAGCTCCCTGCAAGAAAGATGCCAGCACTGAGGAGGGGATTCAGCAGCTGCTGGAACCTGGCTTGGAGTGTCAGCTGCTGAAACTGGAGCCCGAACTGCACTTTGTTCAGAATTACAAACATTTCAGAGTTACAGACAACCTCCATTCCCGGGGTGTCCTTAACTCTGAGGTTCTACTGTAGTCAAAGCATTTGAATGGGAAATCATTCCTTCTATGTTCAGCATCCCACTTACATGTTTCAGAGTAGCAGCCGTGTTAGTCTGTATTCGCAAAAAGAAAAGGAGTACTAGTGGCACCTTAGAGACTAACCAATTTAGGTGGGCCATTTCCAGCAGTTAACAGGAACGTCTGAGGAGCAGTGGGGTGTGTGGGGGGGGGGGAATAAACATGGGGAAATAGTTTTACTTTGCTCATCTTAAGTGATCACTCTCCTTACAGTGTGTATGATAACACCCATTTTTTCATTTTCTGTGTGTATATAAATCTCCTCACTGTATTTTCCACTGAACGCATCTGATGAAGTGAGCTGTAGCTCACAAAAGCTTATGCTCAAATAAATTGGTTAGTCTGTAAGGTGCCACTAGTACTCCTTTCCACTTACATGTGTAATTGCAGTAGTTTCATTTTTGCAGACTAAGCTATATTTGAAACCATTGGCCACATTTATTCCTGTGTTAACTCATTCAAATCAGTGAAGTTACTTCAGGGATGAATTTGGTCCTAGTTCTCTAGTGGTGAAAGGCTACTCAGCACTGTACCAAACATTCTTAAAGTATACATATAGCATAAAAGAGCAATGCTTCCAGGGAAACCATGTAACAGCTGAGTTAGTTTCGATTTCTCTTGTAATAAGTTTCATGTATGTATCCTTCAACTTGCTACCTACTTGTGTTAACATATGCCTCTTTTGTTTGTTCTTTGTAGGACCCCTAATATTGACCAGCTGGCCAAGGAAGGGGTGAAACTTACTCAGCACATTGCTGCAGCTCCACTTTGTACTCCAAGCAGAGCGGCTTTCCTGACTGGCAGATACGCCATCAGATCAGGTTGGGAACGTTTTTAGTGATACAATGCTGTCTATTTAATCAGCTGAGCTCTGGTGATCATCAGTAACAAGTCAACATCTACCAACAGTCCCCAAATAGTGAAATATAAGATAATGCAGTAATTTTCTATCCTAAGTAGAAGAAAATACTCTATTGCTGGTATCTCAGATTTGGATGGTAACACTTGGTAAACAATGAACTTTTGGGGCTGGGAGGGGTTAACATCATTTTACAAACCTTCAGCATAACCGTATGAAAAAAGTCAGAGTCACATTTAAGTGTCTTACAGTAGGAGTGAAAGGATGCCAATGTAAAATGAGATTCTTCACATCTTTAGCTTTTACAGAGAATGCTGTGTCCACTTTCTTGTGTTCTGCTGAGCTTGAAAGCTATGGACGAAGGGAATACAGTGGGTTCTAACAAGCAATGGTCAAGCTGTGACAGTTTAGAAAACCCTTCCCATTTATTTAAAATCTTTTGCAGCGGGTGATTGACTTACCACAATAATTTCTGTATAGAGTGGAAGATCACAAAATTATACAAAAAGAGAGAAATTATTGTATTTTAGGTCAACATTGCAAGGGAGCAAAGGGCTGTTATCAGATCAGAATATCAGCTATTTTATAGACTCTAATTGTGTTTTGACACTATAAAGAGACCAAATATGTAAACTTTTAGCTTTTCAAGATATTGTTGACAGCTAATTATTCTTTGTAGTCCTAGCAGTCTCTTGAGGAAGAACTTGACTTCCCTGTGCTGTTTTGAGTGGTTATGTCTTTATCATATACTCATATCATTTGCAGGCCTTCTAACTACAGAACTATAGAAAAAAGAAAAGGAGGACTTGTGACACCTTAGAGACTAACCAATTTATTTGAGCATAAGCTTTCGTGAGCTACAGCTCACTTCATTGGATGCATACTGTGGAAAATACAGAAGATGTTCTTATACATACAAACCATGAAAAAATGGGTGTTTACCACTACAAAAGGTTTTCTCTCCCCCCACCCTACTCTCCTGCTGGTTTACCTTTTGTAGTGGTAAACACCCATTTTTTCATGGTTTGTATGTATAAGAACATCTTCTGTATTTTCCACAGTATGCATCCGATGAAGTGAGCTGTAGCTCACGAAAGCTTATGCTCAAATAAATTGGTTAGTCTCTAAGGTGCCACAAGTCCTCCTTTTCTTTTTGTGAATACAGACTAACACGGCTGTTACTCTGAAACAGAACTATAGAAGTGACTTTTAAGCTGATATAAATGTGAACGCTAGCACAAAATATTTGAGAGTTATAAACTGTGTGGTATGCAGATTTGACATTGGTCTTAGCTTGCCTAAACTTGTGTAAACCAAAGACATGGAGGAGATAAATATACTTTTGTGTTTAAAGCCTAGGGACTGGGTTTCATTCCTTCCTGCAGAATGAGGATAATATTTATCTGCCTGACGCTGGTGTCATGAGACTTAATTGACGTTTGTGATGAATTTTGAGACTCTTGGGTGGAGATCTATCTGGCCCCATTATCACAAGGCATTTCTGAGTGTCTTGCAACCTTCAATGTAGGGAAATATTATCTGCATTTTTCAAAAGGGGAATGGAGGCAAATCAAGACTAAGGCCAGACGGGACGACTTAGTCTGAGCTCCTCTGTATCACAGGCCACCACCACCACCCAGGACCCACACACTAAACCCAACAACTGAAATTAGACCAAATCCCACAGGAGACTATTATGTGTCATAGGCAGAGAATAAGAGGGACAAACTGCCCAGTGCCTGCGGCCCCTGCAGCAGTATGAAAAAGATTGAGTGAGATATAGCCAGAAAATTATGGCAGATGACCCACACGCTGCAGAAGAAGGTGAAAACCTCCAAAGGTCACTGCCAATCTGACTGGAAGAAACTTCCTTCCCGATTGCTCATATAGTATCATTTTGACCCTTAGCATGCGAGCAAGAACCAGCCAGCCACATACCTGAGAGAGAGAGATGCTTGGTGCCACCTCAATGGTTTGCCAAAGATAAGTCCAGTGTCCCATCTCCAGCTTGGCCATTCCTGATGCTTCAGAGGAAGAAGATTAAAAAACAAACAAAAAAACCTCCCAACAAAATACATTGGAGTGCGGGTATCCCTTCCTGACCCTGGCAGGTAGCCAGCTGAAAGCCTGAAGCATGAGCTTTAGGAAAAGAAGACCTAAACCAGATGTCAGTCCCAGGGTTGCTGAGATTCTCCTACCAGCACAAGTAATTCTGTCAGACAACTGCACTCATAAATCTGTCCAGCTCTCTCTTGAAAATAGTTAAGATTAACTGCAACTCCTATTGGAAGGCTGTTCCAGAACCTCACCCCTCTGATGGTTAGAAAGATTCTTCTAATTTCCAGACTGAATTGTTCATGGTGAGTTTATATCTAACTGTTCTTGGGCTGACATTGTCCTTTAGCTTAAATAGTTCTTCACCTTCACTAGTATTTACCCCCTTATGTATTGAGAGCAATTATATTCCCTCTTGGCCTTCTTTTTGCTAGACTAAACAAGCCAAGTTTTTCCAGTCTCCTCTCATGAGATAGGCTCTCCGTTCCCCAGACCATTCAATTAGCTCTTCTCTGCACCTGTTCCAGTTTAAATTAATCTTTCATGAACATGGGTGACCAGAATTGCACACAGTATTCCAAATGAGGTCTTGTCCAATGGCGTTAATACTTCTCAATTTCTACTGGAAATGCGTCACCTGTTACGTCCTAGGATTGCATTTGCCTTTTTCACAGCTACATCACATTGGTGACTCACAGTCATCTTGTGATCAACCCCACACCCAGGTCTCTCTCCTCCTCTGTCGCTTCCAACTGATGAGACCTCAGCTTGTAGCAGAAATTCTTATTATTAGATCTGAAGTGTGTGATGTTGAATTTAATCCCATTTGTATCACTCCAGTCTTCCAGGTCATCCAGATCTTCCTGTGTAACCTTTCCAATCCACCTCCGAATTGATGATGCCTCCCTACTATGTATCTTCAGCAAATGATCATCATTAGCACACTTCTATTTTTTTGTACCAAGGTCATTAATAAAAATATTGAATAAGATTGGTCCCAAGACTGATCCTTGAGGAATTCCACTAGTAACCTCCCTCTGGTCCAATAATTCACCTTTCAGCCTGATGCCTTCTCCCCTTTTAGACAATTCCTCATCCACCTTACGATGCTTGTACTGATCCCCACCTTCCCTAATTTAACTAAACATTTCCAATGTGGTACCATGTCAAATGGTTTGCTGAAGTCCAAGTATATTATATCTACTGCACTTCCTTTATCTAAAAATCAGTTATTTTCTCAAAGAACAAAATCAGGTTAGACTTGCATGATTTATCTTTGGCAAACCCTTGTTGTGTTACATCCCCTTTACCATTTACCTCCATTAATTTAATTATTCTGTCCTTCACAATTTGTTATAAAGCCTTGTATACTACTGAGGGCAGACTAACTGGTCTGTAATTGCCCAGATCATGTATTTTTCCCCTTTTCTTAGCTATAAGTATGATGTTAGCAATTCTGCAAGTCACATGGTACTACCCTTGGCTAGATAGAGCTGTCTGTGACAGAGCAGTGAATGGAACCCAGGCTTCCCAATTCCCAGGCTAATGCCCTAAAGCATGGGCCATCCCTCCTCTCTGATACAAAAAACAGTGCCAAATATTATTTGTTTATTGTCTTGCTCTGTCCTTGACCCATTAAAGCACTTTGATACCGCAATAATGCATGTGGTGCAAATACATACATTAGTATATAAACAATCTGGGACTGCTACATTTTATTCTTATGGCCTTGATCCTGCAAGACTTATGTGGGTGTGCTTTATGCTCCATGAATAGTTCCACAGGTTCAAAGTTAAGTGCATGCATAAATCTTCTATGCAGTAAAAAAGAAAAGGAGTACTTGTGGCACCTTAGAGACTAACCAATTTATTTGAGCATAAGCTTTCGTGAGCTACAGCTCACTGCATCCGATGAAGTGAGCTGTAGCTCACGAAAGCTTATGCTCAAATAAATTGGTTAGTCTCTAAGGTGCCACAAGTACTCCTTTTCTTTTTTGCAAATACAGACTAACACAGCTGTTACTCTGAAACCTGTCATTATGCAAGGCACTTCTATGCAGTGTCGTTATAGCTGTGTTGGTCCCAGTACATTGGAGAGACAAGATGGGTGAGGTAATATCTTTCATTGGACCAACTTACACTGGTGAGAAAAACAAGCTTTTGAGCTAACACAAAGCTCTTCTGTCTCACTCACCAACAGAAGTTGGTCCAATAAAAGATATTACCTAACCCTGCTTAAATCTTGGCAGGAGTGTGGCTTAAGCAATGAAAACAATGAAAAATCAAGCAGAAAATACTAGGTGTATTTTGTTATGTACTGCAGGCATGGCTTCCAGTAATGGGTATCGTGCCCTGCAGTGGAATGCTGGGTCAGGAGGACTCCCTGTAAATGAAACCACTTTTGCCAAGGTGCTGCGTCAGCAGGGTTACACCACGGGACTTATAGGTATGTAGAAATATGTTTTATCGTGAGTCGGCACAGGAATGATTACCCGGATGTTTGGGAGACTGTTTGGGTTTTTATTTTCTCTTAACTGTCTGTCAGTCACAGATGTGTAGCCCCTGAGCAGGTGAAAAAAATACCTAATAGATGCAGGTGTCTATATTAATAATAGTGGTAATAATACCTTATAGACTTTGAGGCCAGAAGGGACCATCATGATCATCTAGCTCTTATATAGTGCTTTTCATCAGTAGATCTCAAAGTGCTTTACAAAGGAGGTCAGTATTATTATCTCCATTTGACAAATGGAGAAACTGAGACACAGGACTTGCCCAAGGTCACCCAGCAGGCCAGCAGCAGAGCCAGGAATAGAACCCAGATTTCCTGAGTCACCATCCAGTGATCTATCCATTAGGAAACACTGCCTCTCTGATATTTATGATAACTGTACACTCATCCTATATTGTAACAAACTAGCACTGTTTAATATTTGTAGTGTGGAAAGACCTAGAGACTCCCAATTGGGGCTTGTGGCCCTAATGTGGTAGGTGCTTTACCCACGCATAATGCAAAGACAGCCCCTACCCCAAAGATCTAACATTCCCATTGAACATTTAATCATCTGAACCCAAGGGAGCATAAAATAGGAGAAGTAAAATATGTCACAAGAAGTGGCATGGTTACAATGGTTAGAACAACTGAGCTTTGTACTAGGTCCAGGAGCCTTTCCAAAGCTTAACAAAACTCTCTCAGTGCTTCCTTTGAGATATAGATATACACACAGAGACAGAGACAGAAATCCAACAAAGGAAGGACTTTAATCATTTCTTTTGGCTATAGAGGGGGAAAGGGATATAGAAATTAACAGCAGGTAGGTAGTACACAACTGGCTAATATAATATGTTCCCCACTCATAGGTAGGTAAGTCCAGCCGTGTTCAGAAATAGCTTGTTCTGCCTCTGGATTATTAAGTAGCATTTGAAAATGTGAAGTACTATCCAAATGTGTGATGGTATAGCATAGAAGTCAAGTCATTGGTACTGTTTGCCTTTGTAACCCCTAATGGTAGGTGAGAAGAGCAGGTGCTTTTTTCTGAGGAGGAGGTCTGAAGACTAATCCAGGAATTTATTTATTTATTTATTTATTTACCGATCACAGAATAAAAGCAAACAATAAAAGATGAGTATGTAAACACACAAGCAGAGATGCCAAAAAATCCGAGGACATGAAATCACTTGAATTTGCTTATTGACGAATCATCACGAAAAAGAGAATGTTTTGATTTTTCATCAGAATATTTTTGTGCTGATTCGTTTAGGTGAATTTCACCCTTTCCCTGGACTGTTCCATACTTGCTAACCATTACCATCAAACTTTTTCCTCAGCAAAGGTTATTTTTAACTCAGTCTTACCAGCTCCCGATACAAACTCAGTGACCACTTTCATTTTGGCTGTTGGCTCTTCCAGTGAATCAAAATGATCCTTCTTCAGGTAGCAGTCTGCTTTTTGACACCAGTGGAAGATTCCTCGCATCTTGTTTTACTTGCTCGCAAGATGGATTTTGATGTGATCTAGTGTGCTATTCCACCTTTGCCATCTTGGATCTAAAGTTTTTGAGACTCGTGAACCTTTAATACATACCCAAGTATGTGATAAACCCACATTTTTTAAAAAATTAAAAAGTGAGGTAATGGAGGAACCAAATTTAGTATTAACATAGTTGCAAACCTCATTTGCTGCCTCCAATGCCCGGGGTCCTCTCACCCCCATTAGTGAAATTTTTCTGGCGAACCCCCAGTGACGTTCTGCGAACCCCAGTTTGGGAACCACTGGTCTAAGGGTAAGCCCAGTGTTAGTGGAACTCGAGTCAGCTGAAAACCTGGGGCTTGAGTATTTACATTAATTCTTAATCCTATGTTGACAATTTTCTAATCTGGGCTTGAAACTGGGGCTCTGGCATCTACACCGCAGCACACAGCCCCGAGTCAAACCAGCCATATCCCAAACTCCCTAGCACCCTCCCCAAATGTGGTTGCTCCACCCCTTTGACTGTGATGCACTGTGGGAAAACTTGACTGTCCACCTTGCATGTTAGAGGAAGTTTGAACAGCCCGCCAACACAGCCTGCCGAGGACTCATTGTGGCCTGTGCGCTCTGAGCTACTGGAGCCAGCCACGTGAAGGAGGTGCCTTTTGAAGAAACTTCTCTTGCTTGTGCTTTCACGCTTGTGTCAGGAAATGGGCAGAGCTTCTATGAGACACTGGTGGACCTTTTGGTGGCATTTTCTGACCCACCAAAGGCACCTGACTGATTTTATGATAGAGCAGGAGGAGGCAGAGTACCCAGGCATGGCAGACTCTCACTGGCTGATGCTGCTCACTACACTCAGTATAGCCTCTGATTGCCCCCACGTACACCGGCACTTCTGACACAGGGTCACACGCACAGACCGGTGGGATCACATCTGCATGCAGAACTGGGATGACCAGCCGTGGATCCAGAACTTTCGCATAAAGAATTTCACATGATGAATTCAGGGGCCAACATGACTTCTACACGGCACTATCCCAGCTGACTAGGTCATCGTGCACAGTGCTCAGCACTCGATCAAACCCCTCATAAAACGGGCATTTGGCTGGCGAGTTACTTGAGGTGCAGTTCTGGTCCCTGGTCTTCCGGCACTTGCTCTTCAGCCTCTTAATCCGCTCCCTGCCTTGCTCACCAGTCCAGAAGATTTGCAGCGCTGTCAGCTTTTTAGCTATCTGCTGATATGTGGGATAATTCCAGGTAGTCTTACTAAAGTCTACGATTTTACTGGCCTCGCACCAGAGATTCACCAAAATCTGGCTGTGCTCCCATGATCATTAGGCAGCGTGCTTTGCAAAAGGCCTGTTCTGTTCAGTTTCTGTTGTAAGCACAGAAGGTTCTTTGATGGTATTTGCAGCTTGGTGGTCAGAAGACAATGGAAGGGTTTAATGCTGACTTGATGAGCAGCTGCTGCTGCTGCTCACCAAAAGGGGTGGCTTCCATTTTCACTGCAGGTGACTGGAGATTGTTGGGATAGAGAGGACAAAGGAAGCTGGCCCATGGAATTGTAGGATACTTTTGGCAGACTTACAGGACGTGAGTTAACCAGGACTGTGTCTACACTGCAAAGCAATAGGATCTGGATCCTGGCTTGACAAAGGCTCGGACCTTCTAGCTCCAGATGGTCCTAGGATCCTAGGTCTGAGCACGAGTCTGAGAGATTTGTACGTAGATGGAAGGAGGATTTGGACTCAAGCCAGAGTCTGAGCCCAGGCTTACGTTGCAGTGTAGACATCCCCTTACTGGAAGCTGTGTTCATTTTATATAAGCTGGAAGCAATTCTTTGTGCATATCAAGTCAACAAGAAAACAGTTTGCAGTGCTTGCAAATTCATCTTTCATATTTTTTCTGGATTCGTAATAAGAGGAAAATCAGGCATTTTCTGTTGGAATTTGGGATTACTGGTTTATACAGAAGAAAGAATAGAGGATTAGATACTGGTATGGGTCTGACAACCTGAGAAGACTTATTTGGGGAGGAGGCTTATAATGCACAGAGATTTTGGAATTAAGTTTAGGTAGACCATTGCATGTGGATTTATAAATCTCCTTAAATACACTTGGACATAGGAAATGTTTCTTTGTTTAGGATTAAGTTCTGAGTGCTTGCCTTTGCAATCTTAAAAATGTTTTAACGTCGTTTTTTGTGGGTTATATATAAAATATATATAAACTGAATCGTACATTGCCATATGCCAAAATTGAAAGAATAACTGGTATTCATTTTGGGGGAAGAGTTACATCTACAGCAAACTAGTGGCATTGCTTTCACTTCACATTTATTATAGCTACAATTGCCTACATTTGTAGAAAACTATTATTTCATAAATGTTGGTACATGTGTTTCCTGTAGTATGTTTCAGTATTCATTTCTTATATGGCTGCATAGATGCAGACTAATGTTTTTTACAAAACAAATCCCTTCCCTGGGTAGCTTAATCTATGGCCCCAGAAACCCCGACAGAGTCCACAGAAACTTTTATGCCAGTATGGAGTTCTACTGGCTTCACTGGAATTCCACATAGGTGCAAGGATCCACCTATGAAGATCTTAGATTCAGGGCCTGCGTTAAGACAAGCACAGTAAAAGACTGCAGACACAGGGAGGGACTGAAATCCATGGTTCTTCTTCCGAGTCTTGCACAGCAGGCACCTGCATTGCAGTGCTAACTCCATCTTTTACAAGTGCTTTTTAATGTTCTAGGCTGGAAGTTTCAAAGGAACCTAGGGGATTTATGTGCCCAACTGCCATTTAAATGGGCACTTAGCTCTCGTAAGGCTTCTGTGAAAATCCCAACCCTAACAATTGCCTTTCTTTGTTTATTTAACTTTCAGGGAAGTGGCATCAGGGTATGAACTGTGAAGCCCTCAATGATCACTGCCACCACCCTTCAAACCATGGTTTTGATTATTTTTACGGCATGCCTTTTACTCTCCTAAACAACTGTCAGAAAAACAAACCTCCTGAGTTGGATGCAGCCCTTCAAGCCAAACTCTGGCTTTACACTCAAATAATTGCCCTTGCTGTGCTCACAGTTATCATTGGAAAGCTTACTGACTTGATTTCCGCCAGCTGGAAAATAGTCGCCTTCTTTGCCTTAGCTGGCTCTCTTTTTTTCACTTCCTGGTACTCCAGTTATGGATTTGTGCAATATTGGAACTGTATCCTGATGAGGAACTATGATATTACTGAACAACCTATGAAGTTGGAAAGGACGTCTGCCCTCATGCTTAAGGAAGCAGTTTCATTTATTGAAAGGTAACTAAAGGCCTTCCTTTTTTCTTAAAGGAGACGAGATCCCAGGAGTTTTTTAAGATCCTTGGTGCAAGTGGAGTTTTTTGCATAAGCTGTTAATGTCTCTGGATAATTCTTTTTCAGATATTTTTGAAACACATAAGAAATTTCTGCCTACAAACACATTGCTCACTGACTTGGTTTCTGGAGCCAAGAAAACATGTATGAATGACGTGTTAATGGGGAGAGCATTTTGAGTATTGACAACAAATGAGTACACCACGGATTCGACTTTATTTCAGCAATCCTGGATCTGGAACCACCTGGAGCTGTTCAGATAGGATAGAGTTTAACCAGGTGACATATGTCACCAGGGACTTGTTTTTCAATTTTTTTATTATTTGCAAAACAACACTGTGTAGCTTCTCCAGCTATCAACCAAACGCTAAAAGATTTTTTCTAACTAAATCTCTCTCTTCATATTTATCATGAAAGAATGCTGGGCCAAAGTCCATGGTATCATCTGAGGTGTAAGTCTTCGCAGAATTGGGACCACCTTGTTAACCCACATGGGTGGGATTTTCAAAAGTGCCAGATGATTTAGGCTCATAAGTCCCAGTGAAAATCAGTGGGGTGCATGCTCCAAAATCACTTAAATGCTTTTGAAAAGCTGTAGTGAGAGAATAAGTAATTTGTATGGAGATCTTGTGATGGGCTGCAACCTGATGGCCCATACTCTCCATTGTGCCAGTGAAGAGTGGCACCATTACAGCACAAGACTGCTGCAAATAAAACATGCTTTTTGGCAATCACTTATTTTTTAGGTTTCCATTATTGTCCCCCCACACACACACACTACTAGCCTGTCATCCCCTCTTTTAGCTTTCAGGCTGCTCTTTCTCTCTTGCCAGCCCCCCATCTCTGTTAATGGAGGGCTGTTTCTGGTCCAGTGCTACATAATCCAGCAATTCTCCTACAGTGGTTGCCAGGCTATTCTCTCTGTGGCTTATATTGCTCTTACTCCCTTTCAGACATCTTTTTTTTTTTTTTTTTACATAAGAATATAGACTAATTAACCATAGTAAATCTGACTGTTTGATCTATTTGGTCAGGTATCCTGCCTCCTGCAGTGGCTCATCCCCTTTGGTGCTCATCTGGAAGGGAACAAACTACAAAAAGCCCCATGAGACATCCAGATAACTGTACTGTGCTATACATAGCAGATAAAACTTCAGGTAAAAATTTCAGAAGTGCTTAAGTCCCATTTTCAAAAGTGGCATAGACACTTAGGAGCCTGTGTCCTACTGACTTTCAGTGACTTTTAGTCAGTGGTTGGCAACCTGCAGGCCGCATGCGGCCCATCAGGGTAATGTGATTGCGGACCGCGAGACATTTTGCTGACATTGACCATCCGCAGGCCTGGCCCCCTGCAGCTCCCAGTGGCCGCGGTTTGCCGTTCCCAGCCAATGGGAGCTGCGGGAAGCGGTGGGTCGCAGGAACATGCTGGCTCCCACTTCCCACAGCTTCCATTGGCTAGGAATGGTGAACTGCAGCCACTGGGAGCTGTGGGGGGCTGGGCCTGCAGACCGTCAGCATCAGCAAAATGTCTCATGGCCCGCAATCAGATTACCCTGATGGGCCGCATGCAGCCCGCAGGCCGCAGGTTGCCCACCACTGAGTTAGATGCTTAACTCACTTAGGCACTTTTGAAAATTCCTCTAGGCATCTATTTGCATCTTTAGGCATCTAAATACTTTTGTAAGTAAAGGTGCATAAATTGCTTTGAAAATTGGACTTAGAAGCCTCAGTCATAGAGGTGTTTTTTAAAAATTTACCCTTCCTGACTACATGTGATACCTTGAAGTCTGACATTTATTTCTGCCTAACTGTTCCATTATCATGTGTCCCTCTTTTTTCTTTCACCCAGTTTACAGCCTTCCATGGTGCCATGCTCTCTCTTTCTCTTTATTACGGAGTGGAAAATAGCTAAATTTTGTGTTGAGGTAAAGCCCTCTTGTGAGGAGCTTCTGAGATCATTCTCACTAGGGAAATTGTTTTGAAAATATATACTGTTTGGTGCATTGTAATGCAAACCCTTCTGGGGAGAGACATTACCCCCCAAAATAGCTAGTGTCATCCATTGTGCACATTACGAGACAGAATGCTCTGGACGGGCCAAATTAAGGTCAGTGGCATTATGTCACGATGAATACGGTGCTAGTTATAATGTATGTGTGTACATGTGTGAATGTGAAAGCTTCTAGAATTTTCCAAGTGCACAACAAAAATATTCATTTAATTCTTTAAGAAACAAGCATGGACCATTCCTCCTCTTCGTTTCCTTTTTACATGTTCACACACCCCTTTTCACCACGGAGAAATTTCTTGGAAAGAGCAGACACGGCTTATATGGAGACAATGTAGAAGAAATGGATTGGTTGGTGGGTAAGTGTCCTTTATGAAAGAGACTTTCTTTAAATGTATCAGTGTAAAAGTGAAATACTGATATCGACCAAGCTTTTAGAGTCTTAAAAGCTATTAAAGGTTTCTGCAAGGGCTCTGCAAAGCTTTAGTGTCCTGATCATTTTAATTAGATCTTGATCTTTTTGTTTAATTCACAGCAAAATTTTGACTGTTTTTCTGTCTTTCTTTAATTTACAGGCAAAATTCTTGATGCTATTGACAAGGAAGATTTGAAAAACAACACATTCACGTATTTTGCCTCTGACCATGGAGGACAATTGGAGGCTCAAGAAGGAAAAACTCAGCTAGGTGGCTGGAATGGCATATATAAAGGTAAGAAATATGTTACGATTTCTTTTAAGGTTAGAAATGCAATAGAAAATTAATGTGCTTGACTAACACTGATGGGCTCAATGTGAGTTGGGTCCCATCTGGGGTGAAAAGCTGCTTTCTTCTTCTGAGTCAACAGTGTGCCCTTGTTGCCAAGAAGGCCAATGGCATTTTGGGATGTATAAGTAGGGGCATAGCCAGCAGATCGAGGGACATGATCGTTCCCCTCTATTCGACATTGGTGAGGCCTCATCTGGAGTACTGTGTCCAGTTTTGGGCCCCACACTACAAGAAGAATGTGGAAAAATTGGAGAGAGTCCAGCGAAGGGCAACAAAAATTATTAGGGGTCTGGAACACATGAGTTTTATGAGGAGAGGCTGAGGGAACTGAGATTGTTTAGTCTGCAGAAGAGAAGAATGAGGGGGGATTTGATAGCTGCTTTCAACTACCTGAGAGGTGGTTCCAAAGAGGATGGTTCTAGACTATTCTTAGTGGTAGAAGAGGACAGAACAAGGAGTAATGGTCTCAAGTTGCAGTGGGGGAGGTTTAGGTTGGATATTAGGAAAAACTTTTTCACTAGGAGGGTGGTGAAACACTGGAATGCGTTACCTAGGGAGATGGTAGAATCTCCTTCCTTAGAAGTTTTTAAGGTCAGGCTTGACAAAGCCCTGGCTGGGATGATTTAATTGGGGATTGGTCCTGCTTTGAGCAGGGGATTGGACTAGATGACTCCTGAGGTCCCTCCCAACCGTGATATTCTATGATTCTATTCCTGGTTCTAGCATAGATGTCATGTGTAACCATGGACAGCAAACTTAATCTCTCTGTGCTCCATCTTGTTTCTCTGAAATGAAGGTATTAAACTTGCCTGTCTCACAATGGTATTGTGAAGCTTGCATAATACCTGTAAATCATTGTGAGTTCCTTGGATGGAAGGCTTCAGAGAAGGGAGAAATATTTGTATTAAAATAGTTATTAACTGATCTTTTGTAGAGAGCGAGGGAAAATCGTAAGGAGAAGTGGTACCAAAAAAAGCTTTCTTCTTTGTGTATACAAACTCTTGACATTCACAAGCTTCAATGGCATTTTATGGAATCATTCCTACTAGATAGTAAATGTGAATGATTTCCATGCAGTCAGACAAATTCAATTATGGTTACTTATTGTACCCCAGAAATCATAGATACATGGGTAATCAGAACAGAAAAGGAAAGGAGGAGTGTGCTGTCCCTCACAGTGAGAAGGCAATCACTGCACGGTTTTGTTGCTTTCAGTATACTCTACACAAGACAAATGCTGATCAGAAAGCATGTAAATGTTTTCATTTTTCAAACTGCAGCTTGTATTAATTTTGCAACCTGGCCTGACTTCTAGTGCAGCACTGGCCAAGTACAGAGCCAGGGGCAAAGACTTGAAACTGTGACTCCCTGAGCTGTGGAAATTGTGTTCTACTGAAAGGGAGAGTTTGCCTGCTTTCAGAGAGGGGAAGGAGGAACTTTTCCTAGCTCCTGGCTCTTCCTTATGCAGTTGGACTGTAAAGTGGCTCTGATTGCTGCCATTGAATGGAAGCAGTACTTATAGATTTGGTGAATGAGTCTGATGGGATTTGGAGGGCGAGCAGCGAAAAGACATGGAAACCTGATGGCTATATTGGGTGTGCCCAACTGTACCACAGTACACATCTTTTCTTCAGCACATAAGCAATTTGAGCATTCTGATGCTTGATCTGTGTAAAAATCTTATTCTATCTATATCTGTCTTATTCCTGTGTACAATGTGGTTAGGGAAAAACATTTGACTGAAAGTTCAAATAAGGGTATATGATAGCTTTCGTATTATTGAGATTCATGTTTCTGGTCTTGAAGTTCTTGGGTAACTTTTTCAAAACCACCTAAGTGACTTTGGAGCCTAAATCTCATTTTCAAAAGTGAAATAGGCACTTAGGTTTTAGACTCCTAAGTGACTAAATCCTACATGCTGAGTCATTTTTGAAAATCTTAGCCCATGTCTAAACAGAACCAATCTGTACTGAAACTCTGAATTAAAATGGGGGATGAGGCTCTTTATATGCTTTTTTAAGACGTATTTCATACCCTTCAGTCTTGTGTGTTCTCAGAGCGTTTCCAGTCTATCCCTTTTTGCTAGGCCATGGGGCTATTTGGTGTAGGCTCTCAAAAGTTTCATGTCGCCCCATTCTGACCCTACATAAGGATGTAGACTAACAGCTGAGTGCAGGAAGAGCTGTGTGAGGGGAAAGAGAGAGAAAATTATTGCCGAAGAACATATATTTGAAAGCTTGCTTGCCCATTTTCCCATCTGTCCCAAGCTGCAAGTCATTGCAACAGACATTAATTACACACACCCTCCCAGTTTGAGGGCGTGTTTGATTTTTACTTTTTGAGTGATTCTGTGCATCCCTCTTGAAGTTTATGAAATCAGAACTTAACCACTGAATTAAACCTTTGCAATGTGCTGCTGCCATCTGTCTCTAATTTCATGCACAAGTCTAATGTCTGTTAATGAGTCATAACTGTTATATGTCACTTTGCTGTAGGTGGAAAAGGCATGGGAGGCTGGGAAGGAGGCATCCGTGTGCCAGGGATACTTAGATGGCCAGGAGTCTTTCCTGCTGACACAATTATTGATGAACCTACAAGCCTTATGGACATTTATCCCACAGTGGCTCATCTGGGTGGAGGGATAGTGCCCCAGGACAGGTATGGAGACAACAAAGTATATTCACTCCCTATATCTGTAACAACAATATTGCTGCTTATGCTCTTGCTAAACTTTACATTCATTGTGTGGTATGCACACTATGGGTTAGAGCATGTAGTGTATGGGGGTAGGATAGTTGTCAGAACAAGGAAACCGCAGAGAGTATGAAATGAACTATTTAAGGGTATGTCTACAACTGCAATAAAAACCCTGCAGCTGGCCCATGTCAGTTGACTCGGGCTCGCAGGGCTCAGGCTCTGGGGCTATAACATTGCTGTGTAAATGTCTGAGCTTGGAATGGACCCCAGCCTCTGAAACCCTCCCCACATGATTCTCAGGTCCCAGGTTCTAGCCCAAGCCCAAAAGCCTACAGTGCATGTCACCATGCCTCAGTGGGTCACATCTGAGAACACCAGATTCAGGATAAACTGCTGAGAAATAGGCTGGACTCACCTCCAGCTGCTGGTTATTCAATCATTAGATATTCCAAACCAGTATCAAAAGTAAACTTCTGTCTCACCACACTGGTTAAAAAGAAGTCAAAAATGCAGTCTCCTTAGGCATTTCAGCCCTTATTTCACCACCCAGACACTAGACTTTATGATGAGTGGTTATTGAAAACCAATTTCATTAAACAAAGGGTTCTTCTGATCGCAAGAGATCAGCCACATACCCAGATCAATATATAACTCAGATCCTACCCAAGAATCATACTGTTGCCAATCCTTTAGTATCTAATATCTAAATGTTTATTTATAAGAGAAAAGAAGGAGAGTTAAAGTAGTCAAATAAATTATATACATACATTGAAAAGTTCTTGGATCAGCTTTTGTTCTTGGATCAGACAGCTGGCTTGTAAAGTCTCTGGTAACTTCCAAACGACTGGAAGGTCCTCAGTCCCCTGGTTGGAATGCTCCTTTTAGTGTAAGTCCATAGCCCAGAGATCAGAGCAGGAAAGAGGCAAAATGGAGATGCTTCCAGGGTCCTTTATACCTTCTCCCATGTGGAGGGACTGTTCTCAGTCTTAGTTTGTGGAAAATTAGGGGCACAAGGTGGAGTCCAGGGTCACATGAGCTTGTCACATGCCCTTGCATGCCTTGATGACTCATAGGAGCCATTACCCATATTCTGGCTCAAGCATCCACAGGAAGGCTTACCGGGTGGGAACAAGCTTCTTCTGTGGCCCATTGTGATATTTAAGTGTTCTTTAATGGGCCATCACCTTGAATAGCTCATTCACAATGTGCTGGCCAGACTGGACGTAAATTACCTTGTGGGTGTTATCCCAGGAGCAAACACATTTGAAATCTAGATCTATGTAGCCAGTATTCATAACTTCAGATACAAAATGATACATGCGCATAAACAGGATAATCCTACTCATCAAATCATAACTTTTCCATTTACACCTTACATGATATACTTTGTATAAGATTTGTTGCAACTGTCCAACGAGTGGCAATATTAATTATATAAACAGTCATGCTCTAGTCATACAGCACCACAGTGCAATTTTACAGCCCCGCAGCCCGAGTTCCGCTTGCCCAAGTCAGCTGATAGGGGCCAGCCCTGGGTGTTTTATTGCAGTGTAGAACTCTGAATGGGGAGGCCATCCCCCGAATGCCACACTGCTCTTAATTGCAGAAGTGTCAGAAATATACACGCCGGGGTAATATTTTCAAAAGCACCTAAGTGCCTTAAAAATGGGTCTCTTAAGTTACATAGGAAAGAAAAAATTATTCGTCAGTGTTATTACAAGAAAACTATTAAATACTAATTTAGGCCCCAAATCAGGGATGCACTTATGTGCTTAAATCCACCCCTATTCAGGAAAGCGTGCTTAAGTGCTGTTTTCTTTAGGGATGCTTTCCTGAATAGGGGTCTTAGTTTTCCATAAGAACTAATTCTTTGTAAAAACTGTTTGTGTACTATTCAATAGGATAAGTCTGAATTTTTGTTTTAGAAATCATTTTATTTAGGGATTTACAGTATTTGCTTAACTTTTCTCTAATAGCTGTTCTAAATGTAGGCCACGTGCAGCAGGGAAATTATATACATATAAACATGTAAACCATCTGTAGACGTAGTGCCAGTGGCACTAAGAATTTTTTACTGCAGAGTGAGTAATAAATACAATATTTATTGTCCCAGTTTGGTGACTTCTCTTATCTCCATCACATTAGGGTAGTTGATGGCCGGAACCTGATGCCTTTACTACAAGGAAAAGTTCAACAGTCAGAGCATGAGTTCATGTTTCACTACTGTGGGTCATACTTACACGCGGTGCGATGGCACCAAAAGGACAGTGAGTATAGACATTCTCCCCATGATGGATACAAACTCTAGCAAATATTTTCTCCTCATAGGAGCAGTCATCATAGCAACCACTAACTGATTTTTTTTTTTTTTTTGCAATAATACTTAGGCCACGTCTACACTGGCAACTGAATAACAAAACTTTTGTCTTTCAGAGGTGTTAAAAAAAACACACACACCCCGAAAGACAAAAGTTTTGCCAACAACAAGCGCTGGTGTGAACAGTGCTTTGTCGGCAGGAGCACTCTCCTGCCGACAACGCTAATGCCGCTTTTTTTGTTAGCAGGAGAGTCGACAAACAGCAGCTACACTGCTCGACTTTTAGCGGCACAGCTGTAGCGACATAGCTGTGTCACTAAAAGTTGCATAGTGTAGACATAGCCTCAGTGAAGTTCTCTGTGCTTGGCCCAAGTTCTGTGGAACCTATGGATTGACTCCTGAGGTTCTTGGTAAGTCAGAACTGTCATGGAAGTTGTAGTGATGTCTAGTGCCAGCAGGAAGTGCACCACAACAAAGGACTCTTTGCAATCAACATAGAGAAAAGATGTAAGCGGAAGTTTAATGAAAACACCTACTGTACCATCCTACAGACGTTTTCATCTCCACAACATCTAGTGCTTTCAAAATCAGTATCTGTTCTGAAGGACTTTAAGAAGCCTTGTAACCTTGTGTGTTTTCGCTGGTAAATGTCTTTGTATTCCTTCAAGGAGCACTCTCAAATACCAGAGTGCTATGTTATACTCATCATTTAGTCCCTATATCTGATTTCTCTCCTGGCAGGTGGGGCACTGTGGAAGGCTCATTATGTGACCCCAATATTCCATCCAGAGGGTGCTGGAGCGTGTTATGGAAGAGGAATTTGCCCTTGTTTTGGGGAAGGTGTAACCCATCATGACCCTCCTTTACTCTTTGATCTCTCCAGAGACCCTTCCGAGGCCAAACCTCTATCACCTGGCACTGAGCCCCTGTTTGACACAGTAATAAGCAGAATAGAAAGAGCTGTTCAGGAGCATCGCCAGACACTGACTCCAGTCCCACAACAGCTCTCTTTGTACAACGTTATGTGGAAGCCCTGGCTGCAGCCGTGCTGTGGGACATTCCCGTTTTGCTGGTGTGATAGAGAGGGTGACAGTGCACACCCTGCTCTGTAAAATAGGTGGTTGTTCATAAAACCCTGCAACTGTGAATGCTCTGGTGCAGTCAACTTGTAATAACATCATTTCTGAAAAATCATGTTTCTTTTGGGCCAAATTATACCTAAAATATGCCTCTCTGGGGAGCAAAGAGGCCTTAAGTGAGGACGAGGGGGTTATGGTAGCGCTTTCTCCCATTTACTCTCCACTACTAGCTCGGTGCGTAAAGCGCACTCCATGTACACATGGAATAGTACCTGGAGAGACTTGTGCCTTCCAATATGTATTTAGGAGCCTCACTTTAGGCACCCAGGTCTGAATATTTTGGCCATAAGGCATCCAGGCACAGTGGATTCTGTGTTACAATTACTTCCGTTTCCCAGCACATCACTGCCTCGCAGAGGTATAACTCCATTCTCTGTTGGGCGTTTAGCTATAGATAAATATTTGAAACCGTCAGAGAGATATACACAAGAAAAAGTAAAATTGGCTTAGGAAAGAACCGACTGCAATTTTTCAACAGCTTTTGAACAAACTACGGCTTTAACTGGATAACAGTAAAGTTAAATAATCATGCACGCCAGAAAGCAGAATGTTGCTCTTTAAGATTTTTTTTTTTATTGTCATTTGCACAATCATTACTAAAAGTAGCTTTTGGTTGGTGAGCAAAGGGTCCTGTTCTAGATTGTAACTGGCAGTTTTACTGATAAATGACACTAATAAAAATGTATAAAATAAATAAACTTACTTTATATGTTTACGGTCATCTTGGGTAAAGAAGTATGGTGATCATTGGTGGGATTTACCACTTCAGTTAATGAACAAGAAAAAAAATCATAGTTTGGAGAAATCTACGTAATGTAATATAATAAGCAAATATCTAAGTGAATGAGGTGCTGTTCAGTAAAGGATTCAGCAATACTTGGTCAGTTTCATCCTTGGTGTAACTCCATTCAGATTCACCGCGACAAATTTGACCCATGGCTCCTGCTGAAGTAGAAGCCTGTCATTTTAGTGCCTAGTCTGATCCCCATGGAGGACTATGGTGTCTGCATGGTGTATATATGTGCAGCCACAGTTTATTGTAATTACAGTACCTAAACAATACAGGGAGCTTATTGTTTCGCCTGTTTGTAGGCATTAATTCTGTTACCAATTGCTGTAGGAAGAACTTGGGACTTGGAAAGTGATTTTTACATATATTTTTTAAGATTTAGGACTGATCCTGCAGACATGTGACTCACACATTTCAATTGATTGGCAGAAAAGGAACAGAATAGAATGTTGTCATGCTACAAAGCGAGGAAGGAAACTGTCTTATTCATCTCAAAAAGGTATTAAATGAGAAACAGTTTCTATATATTCTTTCCCATTCCTGTAGCATTCCAATATTGAGTTTTATTATTGACTGTTGTGATCAATATATGTTCCCCAGCAAATAACTTGTCAGATGAAAAACTAAACTTTTGAATATCAGAATATACTTCCGGAAGTTAGATGTGTGAGGGGAGAGGAGGAGGGAAAGATGACATAAAGCACACAATGACCCAAAATTCAACCATACCTGCTGACTGTCTAAATTTAATAGCAGATGGACAGCAGCAGCTGCCTTAACTAGTGGAGCCACCATCACAAACTTTGCTTTAATAGAGCTTTTGTAGATCAGGTTCTGAAAAAAACACGGCAGGCTCAAAAGGTATAAAAAGAGTAATTGAAAGCGGAGGTTAGGTCAGTGTAATAGAGAGAGACATGAGGCCCGGTAGAAAAGTCCTAGTGTAAGGTCTCAGGCCTAAACAGAGTCAAGCCCTGCTAATATAAAGCAGAATTAGCAAGAGTCAGGCCAAGTCAGGCCCTGCCCTGTTACAAAACATGCCTACTTGCAAAAATACAAACCTTCCTTAGAAGTGCTAGGCACAGGACACTCACGTAAACACATTCCAGAAAGGTAATACCAGAACACCCCAATATAAGGTTATGGTATAAACACACTCCCTGAAGATGGCACAAGGACACACTGACCCCTTTTAAAGAATAGGCCAAGATGACTGGGTGATGGATAGAGATGTTTTGATCAAACCAACAGGTACAAGGTAAAGGGTGGTAACAAACCACGTCATTTGTTTGTGTCAGTGTGTAAAAGAGGGATTACAGGGGGTATGTCTTTGTCCAGCTGAGGGGGGAACAGAAAGTCTTGCCATTCACTGAGCTGAGTCCACTGCAACGCGCATACATGTGCTAGTGTAACAGTAGACATTGATTTATTGACAATAAACCTGATCGAATACCTCCGCCACTGAATCAAGTGTGTGGTCTCTTTGGGGCATTCAAACAAGGTCTGCTGGGCCAGCTATCTGTGCAGAGCCGGCACAGCACACAGAGAGAACAGACACGCACAGCCAACAACTGACAACAGCCAGTATACCATTACAATATTGCACTTGCTGATAAAATATCTTGGGCGAAATCCTGGCTCCTCTGAAGTAAATGCCAATTCAGAATCTTTGTCTTAGCATACGTTCAGTAACTAATTGGTGAGTAATGAGAGACAGTCTGATGCAAGTTGTATATTTTAGAAAAATGCACCCTCTCCTACAAATTAAATATTCAGTGTTGATGTAAGGTTCCTCATCTTAATCAGTGATTTTTATGCCAGGACTGAGGGACTCATACTGGAAATGTGGAGAGAAATCTGAGCCACCACATGTGATGGGGACTCATGGCCACTGTGATTATTGAAAGATGCACAGTAGCACCTAGGACCCATGCTACCGGAGACTGCGTCAACATCATCTTTGAAGCAGTGTAACATTTCCTTTGAAGCAGAGAACATACCATCCTCCCACAAACAAGAAATAATTCTCCAGAAACCATTCTCTGGACCCAGAGACCTATTACACGATGCCTAATGTTCCATTTTTTAGCAAGATAATCTACAGGCAAAGAACTGCTACAAAATATACTTATCCCTGCCAATATTCTGTATCTTGTGCTTTGGGCTCAAGCTGCTTCATCTTTAAACCTACTGAGGATACCAAGAGCTGTAAGCCACTGTGTTACATCTCTGCCTCAGCAAGAATGAGTTTTGCTGGTGATTAGATTGTGCGTCAGTTCTCTGTCACACCAGTCTGTCTTCTTCACCAGCAAACTCCTCAAGGCTCTCCCGACCCAAACCTCACCTTGCAGGTAACGGTCAATGAACTCCAGCCATCAAGCTCCTCATAGATGTTTCTCTGCAATGCACAGCCTCTACCATTGCGTGTTCAAGTTTGTGTGTTTAAATTTGCTGCTCTGTTAAAGAGTCAGTACATCATAGCTTATGAATTTAACTGGATAAATACACCCTTCTCTTCAAACACAGGTCTGAATTGGTTTACAATAAAAGGAAAACAAATTTATTAACAGAATATGGATTAAGTAATATCAACTAAAAGGGAAAAAGGTAGAGATGGTTAAAAGCAAATAAGTGAAAATGCATCTAAAAGTCTAAAATCTAGCAACATACAGACTTTGTTCAAGATGATTTCTTCTTCGAGCAGTACCCTGTAGGTGTCTCTGTACTTCAGTAGCAGTTTCTGTTAGGGGGCTTATTCCTTCACCCACTTACTTCCCTGGTCCTTCTCGCATGAACAGAGAGCAACAATACCCGAAGTCCAAAGGTGCAAACAATTCGATGTTTATTGGGGTGAACTTCCAGCAAGCATGATTCCAGTTTCCTTCCTTAGTGTCCTCCTTCCCAGCTCTGGCACCACAGAGCCTTACACCTATGTCCCTGTTCCCATTCCTGCCCTTAGCAAAACATTATTCCAATTTCCTTACCCCCATTCCCTGTTCCCATTTCCCCCTTTAGCAAAACATGATTGCAATTTCCTTACCCCCATTCCCTGTTCCCATCTCCCACACCCACCCCCACTCCTCCCCACACCCACTCACTTCCTCATTGACTACAGATTATATAGTAAAACTTGAGTTCTGCTTAGCTATACCTTAACCAATCATTTTCCTGAAATTTAACTAACCATGATTATGTACCCAATTATATCCCACCACCTTAATTAGTTTACACCCAGCAAAATTAATTATACAGCAGACAGGAACAATCACAAAACCAGACTGAGATTATACAGACAAACAATAGCAAAGTGGGAACTATAATGACAAAACAATACAGAAGTGAGGATTTCACATCCCAGCTATTGATAAGTGAGTTCTTGCCAGACAGGATGCTATCAAACTAAGTTTTCTTTTACATTTTCTAGGCACTTCCCTTTCTCTGGAGGTTATAGGAATACAATCCTGTCCTGATAGTGCCTGACAGCCCAATAGCACCTTATTTCAATGTGACTAGTTTGGAATGTGAGGATGTGACTGTTCGCTTCCTAGCTTATGGCTGCCTCTGCTGCTTAGCCAAAGGCCTTAGCCTAAGAACAGGGCCTCAGACTGTCACAGTAAGAGAAGGCCCTTACACCAGCAGACAGTGATTTTGATTCTTCTTTTATACCTCTAGAACTAGTCAAGTGATAAGAATACCCCTAAATTCTTAAAGTACAGGCCTTTGCAGACAGGCCTGAATATCTATATCCTAACAGTTTCCATTAAGCCCGCACATGCGCTGTCTCTCCTCATGCTCCTTTGTTCCTTCTCAGCCACCCCTGGGTACAGATGGAGCCATTAACTGTCCATTAGCAGATTGTTAACTCTCCTTTTCATTTGTTAATCTTTAGCTTTTAGGAACCTTTTAGCTTTCTTTTGAGTCTTTATTTGGCCATGCCGTAAAAAAAAGAAGAAGAAGAAGGAGAAGAAAGAAAAGACTTTATTCCTGTGTCGACCTCCAGTGTGGGGGGAGGAGGGGAGTCTCCCCTGGACAAGGGTATACCCGGCTCTCTGGGCTTCAAGAAGTGTCTTGCACTTGCAGCAAGGTGATCCCGGTCACAGACAAGCACTCCCAATGCATTCGCTGCCTAGGCGAGGGCCATATCCAACAAAAGAGTTCCCTTTGCCAGCAGCTCCGACCAAGATCCCGCAAGGACAGAGAGCTCCGCCAGAAAATAATCTTTATGTAGGCAGGTCTCTGAACGCAACCCTCCAGTAGGCATGAGTCTTCCCCTTAACCTTGACTTTGAAGGACAGTAAGTAGAAGAAATGGTCCGGGGACTCCTTTCATAAGTCGAAAAAGAGAGCGGGAAGTCTCCGCAGTGAGCCTAAGGATAGCTGAAAGCGATCACCATTTCGCTCGGTATCCTCGGCACCAAGATCATCTGGCACCTACGTCTCATGGCAACCATCGGTGTCCTGTACCATTGATAGGCCCATGGACACTTTGGGCACAGGCACCGAATCTTCAGTGCAGGGAGATAAAGGCAAATGGCCTAAGATGCTTCTGGTATGCAAGCTGACACCAGTACCTCCAGCAGCATTGGCCCATCCATCACTGGAGAGATCGATATGGGCAAGGTCCCCATCCTCACCGATACTGGGATGCTTGATACTGGCAGAATTCCATCAGGCCGGTGACGTGGCTGTGTTGGAAGCACCTGTCAAAGTCAGATTCAGGACTCACATAATTTGTCAGACAACTCTGTTTATTAGCAAAGCGCCTTGCTAATGCACCCAGATGTAAGCCCCTCTCTGAGGCCCAAGATAACCTATTTATACAGCTAAGCCAAAGCCAATTTAACATAAGAGACAAAAGAAAGCAGAAACTGACAAATAAACATACATATCTTATTTGCATACTAACGTTTACCAATCTCCTAGCTCAGTAGGAGCTCTAAGTTAATTAGTTTGAGGACCCATTGTCTCACACTCCTTAATGTTTCTCTTCCTGACAACTATATTTCAGCAAACCCTTCAAGTAGCATTTCTTTAATGAATTATAATTTCAATATAATTCATTCTACTTTCACAATCCCTCCTTTTGGTCA